TGATGTTGCTGTTGTTGTTGTTGTTGTTGATGATGATGATGATGATCATGACGGTGATGATGACGACGACGACGACGACGACGACGATGATGATGATGATGATGATGATGATGATGGCGATGATGCTGATGCCGATGTTGATTGGGCATCAGGATTAGAATTATGGCGACGAAGATGATGACTTTCTCAACGCAAGGTTCTCCTCTCATGATGTCAGCATTGATGCATCACTTCCATCTCTATACCCTGTCTGCAAAAGTTGAACCAAGCGACAGCTCACCTGCAACACCAGCAACGGTCATGATGCTGAGATCCTCTTGCAAGGACCAGTCAATGCGGTCTCCGGCATTGAGCTGGACAGACTGACAGAGGTCGCTGAATTCGGCCTGCTTTTTGTCCTGGCCGACGGCAACTTCAGGCATGACAAGAGCATGCACGGGCCCTCCCTTCAAAAACCCGCTTGTACGGTTCCTCGCCCGTGGCCCAGTTCATCATCTTCTGCACACCGTAGTGCATCTTCATGCCACCAATGCCACCCTCCACTGCAACTTTGGCAGGTTCCAGTTTTTCGAGGTCCTCCTTGATGAGGGGCTCGATGCGGTAAGCAACAGGATCGAGGGGGTGAAAGATGTTAAAAAAGCGGGTGCCCCCAGGAAGAGCGAAACTCTCTTCGGGAGCGGAGTCTGCAACGTGCAAAAACAGGCCAGTCGGGCTCCCCATGGTGAACAAGGCTCCAGGCGCGAAGCTCAGCTTAGGAGTCTGGCTGCGTAGAAGCTCGAACAGGATCGCGCCTCCAAGGGAATGTCCCGCCAGGACGATGCTACCGGAATGATGAGGATGGTGTTTCAGAAATCGTGCCAGAGCTGCTTCAACAGAGCGTGCAACTGCGGCCACAATGGCTTCTTTCCGTCCAACCTGCATGTAGTACAATGCATCGACCACCGCAAAGTTCGCGATTTGGCGCACCTGTTTCAGCACAAGCTTTCTTCACTCTGGCGCTATCGCCTGCACGCAATCTAAGCGCTACAAACCCACGAAGATTCTAAGAGCACACACCAAACTTCAAACACTTTGTCGGGACCCGGGTCCCAATCCAAAATGTGCACGGAACTGTGGCGGTAGCACGGATCTCACAAACGGAAAGACGACTCGCAGCCAAAATATGCACTGCGCTGTGGCGGGAGCACGATATCGGGAGACAGACACTGCCATGTGCACCCCAGAAACACGCGCGGCACTTCTCGATTTTCGCGAGTCTAGATTGAACCCCTTTTCGACACCACACCATGAAGCCCCGAAAGAGGAGAATAGGACTTCAGCGACTGTGAGCGCCTTGACACGCGCAGGACTGCGGCGGTAGCGGCAGGGTGATTACGATTCATCAAGTTGGACAGTGCCACGGTTTTGCGATGAATTCGAGCTGCCGGCAGATGTGGCGGATCCTCGTTACTCTTTCATGTGACAACCCCTGAATGATCCTACACTGTTATTGGGAACAATGCACCAAATCAAAGCCCAACCGAGCATGCAACGAAAGGCATCTGGAAAGACACCTCCCTTGCAAGTCGCATCCGCACCTGCTTCATGGACGGCAAGCTGATCCGCGCAAGGCGTTTGTCCATCTCGTCTGTATGTATCGTCTCCCACCAAGATGCCTCCAGAACCTCATCCTTTTGCAAGCTGGGCGGCGGTACTTCCCCTGGATACCTGATGCTTCGAAAACCGAGCTCAAGCCTAGTACTGCCAAAAGTTTGCGTCTGAGCTACTCCCACCCGGAGCCCTTCTGCACAAAACCAGCAGATTGCAGTTGCTTGACCTTGGACTGCATCGTCCGAAACGGAACAGATCGCAGAAACAGCTTGGCGCCTACGACTCGAGTTTCTGCCTCAAAATCCCAGTTGCATGTGTGTGCTGGCGGAACTGCACGGAAGAAAATGCCAGCCCACAGCCTTGGTTTCTGGACAGCCAGAAGGACTAGCATTAACAACACCGCACACAGATCCTGCATGCAAGGAACCTTCCTCACTCCACATCTTCTCGCCTACGCCATGCACCAAGATGATCAAATTCCCGACTTTGTCTCCCAAAGCCTTCTCCTCCTCCTCTCCTGGCTGTAGATCGACAGGGCCGAAGCCACGCTGCAGCTGGTAGGTCTTGCCTAGCATACCCTGTGCATACTCCATCCATGAGCTTCCTCCCTGCGACCTTTCCTTGGCTGAAAGCTTCCAGGACTTGGACTTCTGCTCGTACTTCAGCTTCAAGGTTACCTGCCTTCCCGAGTCCAGCACGACGCTTTCTGCAACTTCCAAGTCTTCCTTTGGTAGCGCCTCTTTAGCACCAAGCCACACGCGCTCGTGAGCTGCTTCAATGGCTTTGGACGTCTCTTCGTCGTAGGGGATCAAGGTGGCCGCTTGCTGGAACCAGAGGGCTCGACGCACCTTGCCCGGCTTGCGCGGAGGATCACTGCCATATCTGTCAGTCACCAGTCGTTCTTTCAGGTCAACTTGCCACCGCCCGCCCTCGACATTCACAAAGCTACTTGACGATGCTTCTGCCTTCTCAAGCGGTTGCTGATCGCTCCGCCGGAAAGGAATCCAGTTTGAATCCCCATCTTGCCAGAACCATGTGAAGAGTTTGTCTGTGCGATCAACCGAAGATGCGTTGGCAGGCCCATCCGCAACAGCGTGAGAACTCGGAGAAGCGGAGGTATCGGTCATCCATGTCAGGCTCGATGCAACATGAGGCTAGTGGTTATCGTTATCTGTTACATGGACTCCACATGCGAAGCTCTGCACGTGGCACTCAGAAATATCACACCGTACGAGGTAGAACTTGTGTGGGAGCTGCTGAATGTCGCAGGAGGCACTTACAAAGGTGCAATTAGTACCAGTCTACAGCTCTGCTTCAGAACAGCTGTGCCGGTCTCTACCAGCCTGTTTCACCCCCCCCCCCCCCACAAGTACATGTCAGGTCGTCGTCTTGATGCCTTCGTCGTTGTCAGCAAGCTGCAAAGGAACCGGGTAGACCTGCACATCTATATGAACGGTTTCGCCATGTGCTTCTGTGCAGTGCCAGTTTGGCTTCATGGCCGCTGAGATGCGGCGCTCAAGTCCAACAAGGCCTGCGTCTGCGGCCCAGGTGCATAGACAAGCAGGCTCTCCTTCATATGCGATGGCACATGCAATTGCCAACGTGGTTGATTCCCGCTGTGGGCATGTCGCAATTGTCGCATGCAGTCCTTATTGCAGCCCTTGTATGCAGTTGGCAAGACCTGGTTTACATTCAGGATCTTGCAGGCTGGCTGTGCTGTCAGCAGCCATGCAACGCAACCCTGCTCTCTCGTGAATCCAGATTGTGTGGGGTTCAAACGCAGGATTCCACGGCTGCCGATTCAGCACAATATGAGTCTACTGCACAGAAAACCGCAATCGTGTCAGCTCGGCTGCGAATCCCTCCAGCCACTCGTCTTCATCGTCTTCGACATGACGTAAGCCTTTTTCCATCCATGCCTCTTGATGGGTTCACAATGGAAATGCATGCGAAACCGTCCAACACAGCAGTGTCAAATCGCCTGAAGCTCAGGTCAACCTTGCTGTTGCCGAGCGACTTGAGGCAGAATCATACTCCCCGATTCCCAGCATCATCCGGAGTTAGCGTGCCACGTGGCTCTGAAACCGGGCTGTGCTTCGGATGTGGTGTTTCAAGATTCCCACCGTGCATTCACCGTTGCTTTGCGCTTTTGCCACAGCATCATTAGCGCCATATAAGGTGTTGGTGGACACAGCTCAAAACTCCGGTTGGTCACTGGATGGCGGTTGCCGAGCAATTTGAGCCAGCGTCACGGGCATCAGGGCTTCTGTTTCAATCTGGGCCAGCATCATGAGCATCAGTAGGCCCTGTTCGCATCTGTTCGCGGGGGCAATGATGCGAACTTCCGGATCTTCGGGCTCTGGGCGCCAGCCCCCAGCGCTCTTGTGTGGTGGCGCCGCTGCTGGTCGACACCTGACGCGTGTTTTAAGCAGTGCTTGGAGGGTTTCCACACGCTATTCTGGGACAACTGGGCAGTCATCATGAACATTTTGCAGGGCGCTTCCGGAGCGGGAGACGTGAGGATGGAGTGCGGAAAGCATCGACCGCTCGGCGGGTCGGTGGACTGGGCGCCGGGGCTCCCCCGTCAGAGATCCAGACCGCGCACACATGCCCGCGAGATTCCACGCCGAGGCCGGTTGTGGCCGGCGCCGCCAGTGCTACAAGACCCATTTTTCCAAATTTAATGTACGCACAGTTAGAGGGAGACAGAGACAGAGACATAGAGGAAAAAAAGCACGATCAATGAAAAGGGGGTAGATGCTGCATCCGTGGCACTCTGACAGATTGGTCATGATCCAACCCTTTAAGCAGCTTGAAAGAGTCCCTGCACCAGGGCCTCCAAAGAACTCGCAGGGTGAATCGCCTCCCGTCGGAGACACTTTGGCAAATTTTCCGCATGTTTTTTTGCACTTGAGGGCCTTGAAAAGCAGCTCGCGTTGTGGATGATCCTGACATGTCTACCCACGCAGGCACTCGGCCATTGATTTGTGCAATTTCCAAAACATGGAAGCCGCTGGTTGATGGCAGCGCCTTGTTTGCCATGAGCGAAGCCATCTTTGGCGGCTTCTGGCTAAGATTCTCAATATCTGTGCCTGCATCCTGGCGAGCATAGTGACTCAAACTGAGTGTGAAATCTATTGCATCTCGTGTGCACGCAAGACACAGCAAGCTACCACGCCACTGCGATGTAGTGTTAGGAGTGTGCCACGCAGTGTGACAAACTTGACTGAATGTGGCGGATGACGGGGACCCGACGTGCGCCGGTCTGGCATCCTTCTCCATAGTGCAGCTGTCCTGCATCCAGCAAGCAAATCCGAAGAAGTATCTTCCAACATGCGAATGAAGGTTGCCGGATGTTGCGGGCAGCGTAGTTGGTATGCATATCCACCCTGATCGAATTCAGCAAATCAGCCTGGATGCCAGGTACAGGCACAGCGGCAGGGACGAGCTGTTCTTGAGAGATTGCAGGCAGATAGATTGCAGTATGAACTTCAGCACAGGAGGCACTGAGTCCAGCGACCTCAGCAAGATGCTTGCACAGCTACGCTGAAGTAGTATGCAAGAGTGATGTCACTTGCAAGCAAAGGTGTGCAACTTTTGCCAGCCAGTCAACAGTAGATCCTCTACACAGGAGGGTGCCTGAGGCAGAAGGGAACAGCATGCCGCTGATTGCAATAAGCTCGATGAAGACTTGCTTGTGTCACGCCATGGAGTCTGTAAATCGCCATGCACACATTGGCTTTTTCAAACGCTGCTCCCTTGTCATCAGCAGTGAAGATCTGCATCAAAGTCTTGTGGGTTCGACCTTTGCCTGCACACGTTGCTCTTCCTAAGAATGCTCGGTATTCACACAACGCCAACAAATTGCATCGGGCAGTTCAAAAAAGCCGATAGAATCGCTTCTTCTGCTCTTTCACCACTTCACTCGTGGAAAAAGATGTATGGACCTGGCAGGCTGAGCACGGCATGTTTTCGGGTACGTAAATCAACTTTCATTTAATGTGCTTTCGCTAACTCTCGTCTCGGCAGTGTCTTCTGGAAGGAAGAAAAGAGTCCTCTGATGACGCGTCGGACCCCGTCACCCGTCAGAATTGCTGGACATGCCTTAAGCAAACCTCACTTGACACTTCGCGCCTGCGAAGTCCTGCATGATGCCGGCGACGGTGGTCCAGCCCACGACATACAAGATCCACCCAGGCACGCCCTTGTATCCCCTCAGAGAGTGGTGCTTCGCAGACATGGAACATGAGCAGTCCACAAGCGGAACAAGCGCACGACAAGTAAGTGTCTGCCACATGCCGGTGACTGCTGCAGTGGCTTCAAGAACCAAAACAAAAAAAAGGCGAAACTGTCTTTTCTGGGGTCAACGATTGCCCACGCCCTTCCCACCGACACCTCCTTTATATTCTGCCATCACTGTCCCCTACGGCGAAAGCGTACCCAGCAGTTCAAGTTTCAAATACCGAACTTAAGTTCCTAAATCCCGGAGAGAGACCACGCCCAGGAAGCTGCTAGGAGCCTCATGATGTGGCCCTGCTAGGACTTTCGCGACTTCGAGCGATTTAACGGCCGAAGTGACCACAAGACTGCGGCTGGAGCACATGATTTCCAAGCAAAACAATCCTTGAGAGCCCCAAAGTATTGGATTTTGGATGTTACCATGGTGATGAATACGGAGTCTCCCGCGAAACTGTGGAAAGAACGCGACGTTGTTCGAAACTGTGCACTGCGCACCCGCTTCGTATGCACTGCAACCCAATCCCTTCACCCTTACGCAAGAGTCCCACGGTGTTACTCCGCTGCTGTTTGGGGAAAACGAAATTTGCGAAGTTTAGTCTGCCCGTTCAGCAAGGATCTGCAGCACCCCACTCGAAAGGCATGACCACAAAGCCCTGACCCAGAGCAGCTGGCGGGACTGCGTACCATGGACGGCGTCCAACACGAGGAGCAGATGCCTTGCTCTCCAAACACCAGAAATCACCAGAACAGGCAGGGAGAGCCGCTCTGCAGCTCCGATACGGCAGGTCCGCCGAGGGCCAGCTGTTGCGTGGATGGCGGAACCATCTGAGGAAGTGCCGTCTTCAATGCAAGCTTTCGAGACTCTGCAGTCTGAGGCTTGCTCGGAGGTCGAGGAGTTCTGGCGCATGGACGCCCTCAGACAGCTCTGCACCTCCGGACCTCACGGGATGCTTGGAACAAGGGAGCCTCAGACTCAAGGCCCTGCGTCTGGAGGCACGGCTCGTGAAGCGGGTGGCCCGGGCGGGCTGCATTGCCTGCATCCACGCTTTTTCCTTTTCTGTGCTTCTCTGCCTCCGTGTCGCTCTCCAAGCCTTGGGCAAGATTCGTGAAGCAATCAACCTCTGGAACACCATTGCCGGGGCTTCTCCTTCACGGGTCAACTGCCAAGATCCCTCCGCTGCTCCTCAACGGTCATGTCCTGATGATACGCCAGCGCGTACGGTGCAGAAGGGGCTCGGCTGGCTTGAGTCTGCGACTGCTGGCGAGTGCACCGCTGGCACGTAACTCTCTCTCCGTGCGATGTGTGCCAGGAGATAACGAGCCCGTGCCACACAACTAGACAGAGTGCTTTTTGCGTCACCGCAAAGTCATGCCGCAACGAGAGCAGCAGAAGCAGAGAGGAGCAGCACGGAGCTGACGGCATGACTGTCGATTCCATCTTGATCTTGGAAACCTTGGAATGCGACATCATACCATCGTTGTGTACAACAGCCAGAGTCCTATATACAGTCCCCACTCGAAGGCCTGCGCCCAGCGAGGTGAATCCATAAGCTGCTCAGGTGCGATTCGGGGCCGGTGGCAGCAGCCTCAAACTGGAGATTTTGCCCTGGCTTAAAAGAGTTTTTGGAGGCCTGCAACTTTGCGGGCGGCTCAGGACTGGTCCTGCAGCACCGCAATGCTACGGCTTGTCCGTCTCCCCATCGCACTGGCAGTTGATCACTCGATTACCGGAAACCGTGTGTGCAGCATGGGTTCGGGCTACTAGTAGAGATCAACTCTCACCTGTGCTGGCCGGAAACTCAGCCCCAGAGTTTCGGCTGCCATTATTTCGCCGGGTCTGGCAACGACGGCAGGGATGTACTTTAACGAGCCAGGTAAGGTGTTGCACTTTCAATGACCTTTAAAACTGACACAAAATGTGTGGGCTCGATTAAAAAACAGACTGGGCAGGATGCCCATATGCACCGCAAGCACCGCACATGGTGGCCCGGCTGCTTGGCACAGGGCTGCCCGATATGTACAATTTGCGCGCTCTTTGGGCTCAGTCCGCGTGAAGGGTCAGCTCCTTAGGCTTGCAGTGGACACAGAATGACATCAAGGAATACAAGATAAGAAAGACCATCTGCTTGTGAGGCCAGCTGCGGAGCGCTTGCCACGAGGTCAGCTGACTCGCAGCTGCCTCCCTCCGTCGTCCACAAGCAGCGTGACCCCGGTGACCCGGCCGCTGAAATGAGCTGATAAGGCAATCTACTAGCTGCTAGCTGACGCCCGAGATGTCTGTCACTGGCTACAGTTCGAAACTTCGAGGAGTCAAACAAACCCACATCCTTGCGTGATAGTCGACATGCGTTCAGCGACCGGGTCGCCTCTTGACGGCTCTGCGCTGTGGGAAGCTGCCTGGGATCTGGTGGGTACAAAGTCAGTCGGTCGGAAAGTCTATCAAGAGCTGATGCAAGCAAGTTGCTCTTGAGCTTCAAAGTCAGCTGCATGTGTACTTTCTGGAGTTCTTCGTCTCCCCCCTGCATCGCAGAAAAGCCACGCGCGATTCCCCTAGGTCCTACCAAAGCGAACAGGAAATTCCTTGATTTCTGGGGAGCGCTTTCCAGCTGCTGTGCCCACTTGCTGAGCCCAGACGCCTAGCCTACCAGAACGACAGAATGACACGTACGTGTTCCCAGAGAACCCAATACCCCTTAACTAAGGAATATACCTTAAACTATGGGGGCTTAATTTTATGATTTAAAGTATATTCCTTAATTAAGAGGTATTGGGTTCTCTGGTTTGCCAGAAGTTGCCATTGGCTCAGCAAGTGGCCCCCCTCTGTTCCGTGCAACCGTACTCGGGCTCCTTGTCAACAACACCCTCCGGCACTGTTCAGTGGAGGAACACGATGCCAGGCAGCTTCTGCGACTTTTGGTAAAAACAATCTGAAATGGGCGCTGCTTGCATAGCATGCTGGAGCGAAACGTGCCTCTCGGTTTGCATCTTCCACACTGCTTGGCAAAATGCGGGCCCGAGACAAGTTGCGATTGCTTGTCAGAGCTGTGCAATGGCTAGAAAGCATGGCTGCAAGAGAATCGAACACTGTAGTGCGATGTTCTCGAAAATAGGACAAGAAAGTTGTAGTAGCAACAGCTCCTGTGCGGCAAACACTGTCAGCAAGTGTCCAGAAACGCGTGCAACAGCGCCACGACTCTCGACTCAGAAGCAAGCAAAAGTTCGAAACCAAAGATGCTCCAACTTAGCAGGGTCTGCACTCACTACATCATGTACGGACGGTGATATTGTGAACGGTGACAAGCTGGTACCATCTGGTACCGGATCCAGCGGCAATGTCATTCGCACTGCTCCATGCAAATCTCGCAGCTCCAGTCTGCGAAGATCAAGATTCCCAAAAAAGCAGGTGACAGCAGAGGAAGATGAACCGCATCCCCAGGCAGCCTCAACTGTGGACTCTTCAACTACACAGGGGTGACAGGTTATCGCTAACAACTGCTTCAAGATTTGCACAAATTAGCCGCAACCGAAGATACTCATGGTAATCTTCGGCTCGGTGGCTCCAGAGTTTACCGACGCTCTCTTTTACCCTACAAGAGACCGAAGAAGACAGGATGATCCACCTCGCAGCATAAATTAAGATGCAGTTGGGAAGCATCGCCAAGGGGCGGTCTAGTTGACGTCTGGGCTTTGCCATGCAACCTCGCAGTTGCCAAGGATTGAATGCAAAAAACAGGGTGGAATATGCGACAAGCGACGGTGACCACATCTTCCTTCGTATACAGGGTCACTGCAGGCACCTGAGTGCGGCCCGGCACCACGGCATGCTCTGCCATGTACTTCAGACATCGAAGAAAGCATCACGCCCAAGCGGTTCGAATCTTCTTCTCCTGTCCACCAGGCGTAGGGCAACAGATAAAAGGCGACAAAAGACAGCAACTCACTCAAGAGGCCTGGCTGCTCCACCGAGGACCCCACCTCGAGCACATGGGCTCCCAAATCTCCCGGACTAGTGCCGGACTCCTATCTCACATGCATTCGCAATGAAACCTGGTCTCTGCCTTTTGACAAACTTAAACAGTCCATGGAAGATCTCGACTTATTCCAGCGGTCTCAGATTGAACACCAGCAAGTACATCGGATATGCACACAACAGTACAGAGTTCTGACTTCATGCTAGGTTTGGGGTAGTGCAAATGAAAAACGGCTTGGCTCGACCGGCTCATGCTCTGCACAGGTTGTCCAAGTCAGAGTGAAGGTAGCAGAAATCACCCCCATGCGGACGGGAACAGGTGTGTCTGGCACACAGGCACCCCCTGGAGAAAACTTTGACGCCTGTATCCAGGACCAAGACCGCGCCCGAAAGTGTGAAGCAAATGCAGAAGGCACAAGGCACTACTAGCGCACATATGGACGAACACAACACGCAGCTGTCGGCACAAAACCTTGACGCACAGAGTGCCCAAGCTTGGTCTTCGTTGTTGGACAGTGGGCAGCAAAGATGCGTCAACAAGATGAATCTGAATTAGGCGTGCAGATCGACGGCTGGCCCAGGGGATCCTATCATCAGCGGGACCACTATTGCTGATCAAGCTGTGAACCACGGGGCCGAAGCCGAAGACTCCTCTAATCCAAAGTCCATGATATGCACCAATGAGTGCAGATAGTATATAACGAACGCACACAGAACGCCGCACCCACGAGCACACGTGCGCGAGCACAGGCACATGCACGCAGGCACTCGCAGGCACACACAGAACTTGCAATGGCTTCGGCGATGGACGTCTGTGGGAGTATTCCTCCAGCTACGCACGACGGCGTCCAGGAGCACAACTAATACAAGCGCGCATCAGTATGAGTGAAACCGTCCGCTAACATAGAATCCTGAATGCTAGACTGCTGGAAGCAAAGACGAAGGTCTCCCTTTGCGCACATCACAGACACAGCACGCACTCGTCGACAATCAACACGCACGAACGGCACGAACAGGTACCAAGAATGTGGGCAAGCCGAAAAAGCTTTATCTGCATAGATGCAGTTCGTATCAATGCGCAGGAAAGCTTTGAGGCCCTTCACTTGCAGCACTTGGGATCCGACCACTGGGCCAGGGGCTCGCACCAGAGGTCAGACTCCTGGCAGACAATAGAAGGATTTGGAGCTCTCACGACTTTTTAGTCCGGCCTTGACGGTGTGTTCGCCCCCATATTCAAAATGAATCGGTGAAGCCAGCATCCAGATCTTCACCTGGTGAACCAGAAAAATTCTTGACTTGAACGGTAAGAGAGCGGATGGCACCTGCGCGATGTCGCCTTGACGGTTTAGGTGGTAGTCGCATCGGAAACGGAGCCTGCTGATAAGACATTTAGTCCAGGCAAGTCTTTGATGAACGCTGCAACGACCCAAGTCAGCAAGCAAGGCATGTTGCATTGTTGCGCGGCATTGCACCACCGCTGAAGCACAAGCATTGCCAGACAGGGGACGTTCTTTAGTAAACTTTATTATCTTCTTGGCTCCCAACAGATCCGTTTGATGAATGCAGCTTTCTTTTCTTGCCTCGGTCCTTGAGGTCCGGGCCAGGGGTTCTTTGTGAGCGCCCGGTCTGCACTCCCCTACGTTGCCTCAAAAAAACACAACAACAACCACCACAACCACGACGACGACGACAACGAAAAAACGAAAACAACAGCAACGAGAACAACTGCTACAGCTACTACTACGACGAAGACGACTAGTGCGACTCCGATCACGACCGCAACCACGACTACTAAAACCACCACCACCGCCACGACCACTACCACCACGACTCCGACTCCGACGGCTAATGCTACTACCACTACTACCACGACGACTCCTACTAATGCCTCCTCCTCCTCCTACTACTACTACTACTACTACGACGACGACGACTACGACGACTACCACTATTACTCCACTACCAATAACACCACCACTACCACTGCCACGACCACTAACCTTACCCGAACAAAAACTACCACTACTACTACTACTACTACTACTACTACTACTACTGCTACTGCTACTGCTACTGCTACTGCTACTGCTACTGCTACTACTACTGCTGCATCTTCTATGGCTACGACTACTACTCCTCCTCCTTCTACTAAAATTCTGCTGCTACTACTCAGGCAGCTGCTTTGCCAGGCATATTTCCCGATAAGCGCAGCGCAATTCTGTGTGGCAACCGCATTCTTCTTACGCTTTGGAAAATCCCCTTAATGTGGAGATGTAATTCCAAATCTCTAGATTGCATTCTCCGCCTCGTCTTGGTATAACGGACAGATAGCCTGCTCGCTTTGCTAGCGCAGACATTCTCAGCCAAATCCTGGTGTAACGGATAGATAGCCTACTCGCTTTGCTTCGCAGCTGTGCCCCGTTTAATTTTCATTGACTTGACTTGCAAAGCCATTACAGCTTTTCGTCTCAGTGCAGAGGTAGGAAAGGTTCCAGCATCTTTTGTGTGGTGCCAGGACGACCAGCCGGAATAGGAGTTTAAACACAAAGCTTTGCAACAAACGATACCTACATGTTAAAATTCCAGCGCACAGGATTTTTTTTCGCAAAGAATCCTTCGTGCTCGGGCATGGGCAGCTGGGGCCCAGCGTGAGGAAGAAACCTTGAAGACGTGTTAGGAGGAATTAACCTTCGAACGAGACTTCTTGTTGGAACCCTTCTCCTACAGCTGCTTCGCATGCCCCAGCATCCTCTTGAAATACCACAGGAAAGGCACACCACTCCAGAATGAAGCAGATTCGAACTTCGAGGCAAAACCTCTCCATCTCTCTGCTTCACAATTCTGAAAACGAGCCAGGTGCACAACGACCCTGCCATGATGTTGTCCTGACGGCAAGTTGGCAGAAAGTCAGGAGAACTCGGTACCTCGCTAGCTGATTTGCAACCTCCAGTTGACGGATATGGGGACAATTCAACTGCTAGCTGCTAGCGTCCTGAAACAGTGGATACTTGGCAGCATTGCCAAACCACTGCACGCCTTTCCTGGCAACAGGAATTACATGGTTCTTGTCACAGCACACGGCTTGCTGTCCAACACCAGCCGACCCTCGGTATACCGTTCTTAGTGACACAACTTGATAACTGACCCTTCTTGAGAGATCTTCGAAGCAGGCCTACATCCCAGCATCATCTGCCTCGGGTTCTCGTCGACCTTAGTGTTCTTTCGCAGTCATATGAATGCTCAGGGAGCCAACATCCGTCCGGCTTCCGAGTATTGCACGTGCTGCTCAGGTAGCCAGCCGCCAGGCACTTCGTCCTGCAACACCGCAAGAAAGGTCGCTGCCGCTTACATCTGCTCGAAAATGCACCGTCCTTCCCTGGGCATTCACGACTGCGCTGACTCGAATCTGTGGGATCGTCCTCGGCATCAGACTTCACCTGCTGCAGGACTGCCAACACAAAACCATGGCAGCTGGGCTGCAATGCTCACAAGCTTAAGACATTTGTGCGACAGACTGGCTGATCTTATACATCTAGACGAGACCGAGAAAGCGATGGTGCACTTGGACACGTCGTGTGCATCGCCGCAACCCGAGTCAGTACCGTCAGCCTTCAAGATGTCCGCTAAGCTTTGTGTGGAGGCCGCATCAGCAACGGGGTCCTTGCAAACACTTCGACAACTGAAAAGCTGGTCCTCATCTGTGCCCTGCCTGCTGGTTGTCTTCATCTGCTTCCTCGGGGTGATTCGGGAGACTTCGCAGCTGCGAAAGCTCGCAATAGGTCGAGCTTTCCGTCCTTGCGAGCTGCCTTCCACTCCACAAGGCCAACATTGACGTAGCCTCCGCGGTTGGGATCAAACATCCATCTATGATCTCCTAGCGACCGTGCGGCCAGGTCGCAATTCACGGACTTCTCCACAGCCAGCGCGAAGGAGAAGCTCAGGGTGCCACAGGGATACGCACAAGTTGACCAGTCAATCTGGAGGCTCCTGGCCTCCACGTGGAACCTAGCGGTGGCTTCCAGCGTCCTGCATGCCAGGCCTGGTGTCATGTGCGAGTGTTGTCCACCTGGCACACGGGCCGCCGAGGAACAGCCTCCGCCGGCCGGCAGCGGACCGCACTTGGCTCCAGCCTGCGACACGGGACTTGAGATGGCACTGGCCACACGTCTCAAGTTCTCGAGGCCACTCCGACTCTTTCGTGGTCCAGTCCTGATGGTGCGGTAATCCTCCGGGCCCTTCATTGTCACGCGGCAGAACCTTTGGAGTGAAGAATTCCAGCCCTTGCATCGAAGAACTCTGCAGGTCATTGCACAAAACATTGCACTGTCACGCACCGGACTCAGGTGGTGTACTCCTCTGAGACAAATCTACACTTTGCAGCTGCCGGAGGCAAGTTTCACCCTGGACAGAATGCGTTTTGCGATTTTTTGAATGCCCTTGATTCGACCTTTGGGGGGGAAACATGTGCCGAATTCACACACAACGGCTCTCACAATGGAGCCAAAAAGGAAGCCCCTATTTCCAACCAATTTTCACATCCAGGTTTGTAAGGGCACGGTAGTTGCTGCAAGCTAGGACCCTGCGACTATGGCGGCGAAAAGACTCATGCTATGGCGGACATGAGGCAATTTAGTAAATAGCGTGACTTCAGCGACAATGCTTGGGCGACAGGAATCGTATCCCTGGTCGCGTGGTTCTATGCGCTGAATCAAAGCATACCACCTCCAAAGTGGTCTGCGTCAACCCAATCCCGATAGACAAGTCTGTTGAAGACTGTCTACACGGTAACCATTCCGTAAGCCGACTGCCGCGTTCGGGATGCAGCGAGGGGATGGACTAATTTTGCTAAGTTTGGCAGTGTGCTCAATGTTGCTCGCAGCTTATGATCTTCTGGGTTCTGTTTGGGGTGTGCCGAACACCGTTTGCTGTTGCCCAAACCCGGAACCTAAAGCAGTCAGTGAACCCAGCTTGTTGATAGTATTTTCGCAGGACGTGACATGAAGGTCTAGGACTGCCGCCTGTTGTACTCCTTGTCCAGGCCAGCATGAATGGACGCGGCCTGACAGAGACAAAGACAAGGACGACAAGGCAGCATTTTTCATGGGTCATGCACCATGGAGGAATTGCATTGGGACAAGGCTTTTTGATGTGGCGAGCCCTGGCCACCGCTCAACGGACAACAGCGCACGCGTTCACGAAGTGTGCACCCTGATGTTAGTTTCGCAATGTTTCGCAATCTCTGCAGTGTCGGTAGACATCTTGATCAAAGGACGCTGAGTCACCGAGAGCCTCCTGATCAATGCAGCAGGCGAGCTGAACACGTCCCCTTGAATGCATCGCCGAGCCTAGGGCCTAGTTGCCGCTCTAGCAAGCTCTGTCTGATCGATGTAAAAGCACGGACGTACACTCGACCCCACGGGAACACATTCGCAGAGTCAGAAAAGCGCGAACGAACCACCTCAAGTGGGGCACTACAGTCATGTGGATCGCTTCCCGAGGCCTTTCCGGGTTCGTTTGATGCGATAAGTTGCTCAACTTACCGAATCTCTTCACCGTCAAAACCACAGCACATGCATCACTTGACAAACCTTGACAGTGTCCCGTACTGCATCACAAAACGTGCAAGTATACCTCGGCCGCCAAAGCAAGCTGCAGGATATCGCCCCACCATGACGGTCAATGACATATTGTCTGAGCATGAACAAAGTATGGGTGCTCCCTGTGTGTTTGCACCCGACTGCATGCATCAATGCAAAGGACACCTTTATTTTGCTTCGCGCTATGGAAAATGGGCCGTCAGTCGCCATGGAGCTTGCACACTTGGTCGATGACTTCCTTGCAGCTCCGGGCTAGTCAAGGCAGGTGGAGTGTGTGTACGCTGCAAGGCTCTGCAGTAAGTCCATTAAACTGCAGCCATGGGGCCCTGCAGATTGGGCAAGAGTCACCAGCCCGTTGCAAGCGTTTTGCACAGGTGTAGCAGGTGCTCTGATGACACCTTGAGTCTCGGCTTCAAGGCTTCGAACATTCATTGATGCGACATCCCTGCGAGGCAGCGACGTGTCCCCGTGCACGATGACTCCATTGGGCCTTGCCCACAGTTCGGAGCCCGCCCAAAGCATTGCTCCAGGACCGGCTTGCAAGATGGCTCAGACCGAGACTTGGCGTCCATGCAGATGACGCCTCAACACTGTTGACCGATGTTAACTGCGTCAAAGGCCGCCCTCCTTTCAGATCCCTTCGGGAAAGCCAAAGCACACTCCGTGCTGTTCGCTGGAGCGATGCCTCGGACACGAAGAAGGATCTATAATCTAGAAGCAATATTCTGAAGCATGACGTGAGGCTGCAGCGTTGCGAGCGCTGCTTGGATGATTCAAAAGAAACGATCTCTGCCTCAAGGCAAAGTACGTTCAGGGATTGTCGCTTCTCGTTTCTACGCGACGCGGCCATCAGGAAATCATAGCATGATGTGATCTGGCCCCCACCTTGCAGGAATCTCACCCGTAACTCCCGGAGGTTCCAATCACGCCACAGGTCCGGTCTTTTCATCGAGGAGACTGTGCTGAGCTCAACATGCATGCGCCCAACTCTCAATATGGGAAACCTTCCTACGATCAAAACCCGCATCGTTGTAGACTTCCAGAAACATGTGCCTGATGAAGTTACTCAAACGCAATCCTGAATCTGTGGCCTGCCTTGTCTCTGGCAAACTCGTCTCTCTGACCAGACCAGCGTGTTGCCACGGCCTGCGGGCTGCGTTGTTGCTCCAGAAGCTACACTCAGCTGTACGTCATCGCGTGCCTGGATCCATCCTTTGGGGATGACCTCAGGAAAGATGTGGGGCAGCAAAGCATAGCAAAGCAGATGCAGAGCCCTGGTGAAGCGAACCGGAGAGCCTGAGTGATGTCGTCCTGAAACATCACGGACACCTGGCGCGAAATGACACGAAGAACTAAGCCCATCCGAAGCCGCACAGTCGGCAACACTTGCCGAGCAACCTCGCCCCGTTGCAGAATCGTCAGCACGATGCCACGGTCAGTTTGCACGCTTCGGCAACTGGGCAAAAGCTTCGGGCTCTCTCCGACTTCACTTCTTCCCTTCGGCGAATAGAGATTTGTTGCTGGGTGTCTGTGCTGGTTACCCGGGCGCTTGAAATGTGCGATCACCACGTCCCCGGATGAGAGCTCCGACACCTGAGACCATAAACCCGCTGGCATATGCGATTCGGCACTTATGCCGCACTGAAGCCGCTGGACCCCGCCAACCTCGGCATGCCAGTCGCGCACCCGTTCGGTTACCCATGCCTGCTGGAGCAAGTCACCCAACCCCTGCACATGATAGATCATGGATCGCGGCTCGATGAGTTTCAGAGCCTTGGAAACATTCTGCTGGATTCCATCATCAAAGTACAAATCCACCTGAGACGAGCAACCCCAGGCCGGAGGTTCGGAACAGACCGACAGAAGCCGCCTCCAGCAAAGAAGAGCTCATGACAGTGGCAACGTCAGTATCTGTGCTCTTCTCACCGCCGCCCGTCTTAAAGTGAGCCTCCCAAAGGCTCCATGCTGCTGCAAGTGAAGCAGGTACAACAAGCAGCAGATCGAAAACTACCCCGGAATTGCCAAACGGTGTTGAAGCGCACCTGGACCCGATCGCCCACGGCCCACTCGCGGAGACGCACGATCCATCCCAAAGGGACCGTCTGCTGGATTGTGTCCTGGGAAACTAAGGTGCTGATAGCCTGCGCGCGTTCCAACCTAATCCTTACGAAGTACGGCATACGCACACATCTGCAAGAAATCAGAAGAGATCCTGGAACTGCACCTGCACACGGCCATCGATGGGGTCCGACAGCACGATTCCAATATCGGTGCTGGTACTTCTTCGTCCGTCTTCGCCCACCTCTTCAGTTACTCCGCAGATGAGAAGCTCGGCTGTCCCAGAATGGCAAGCCTCGAAGTGAACGTCTGCGACGCTTCCGACTTCTACCTGGACCATCTCTGCTTTGCACACTGGTAGCACCGACATGACTGCGATGCTGTGCATTCCTAGTCAAAGCTTTTGTAACAATCCGAGTCCTGCAGGTTCCAGGGCCTGGCCCGGTGGCACACCTGGCAGTGCAGACTCTGACTTTCGTCGGACTCAGAAGCCAGGGCGGCTGCACCCAAGTTTTGGGCACGTTTTGCTCCACGTTGTCGTCAAAGACTGACAGGGCACTAGCGCACTACCACCCCCAACCTCTGCAGCTGCAATGCAAATCGCCCGACCTATGTACACGTCCTCCTTTGAGACGGCTAGGACCGAGCCCATGTCGGTTTTGACGCTTTTCGCGCCCCTGAGGCACAGGTGCGATGTGTTTCAAGTTGCGACGGAATGATACGGCTCCACGCAGCCTCCCATCGTTGACTTTGAAGTACGCATTCACCTGCCATGGCTCCCCAGTATCCGAAGCACGGAGTAGGTCACAGAACTGGTAGCGGGTCAAAGGTGCCGGGATCAGATGGCAGAGGACTTGCTTGAGGCTTCGGGGGTCAAGGCATTGCGAGGCAGATGTTGAGGCCATTGCTAGCGCAGTGAACAGCAACAGACAACACAGACAAGGCAGCCAAACCGGCGGCGGGAGCACGCGATCTCCTGGCTCCAATCGCATCACCTGCTCGACCTCAGGACACCCATCCCTCTGGAATACCTGATGACATTGAAGAAAGCTGAGTTCCCGTCCCATCCCATGGGGATGGTCTGCATGATTTGGTCCTGAAACCTGCGAGACATATGTTCACGAGAAGCGCTGCACCGGACACTGATTGCTTTTCGCATCTTGAGCCTGATCCGAACGCGGCCACCATCGAGGACAGCCACCACTATGCCAAGATCGGTATTGACGGTGCGCCCCTGCATGCAACACATGACCAAGGCAGACGAAGGAATAAGTATGAAGAACTTCTGCGCATCATGGTATTCTCAATTCAATTCATGCACTTGCGAAACTGGCCATCGAGTTCGCCGTGCCTTACCAGAAGCATAGTGGGCATACACGATATCGCCTGGCCTCGAGTGAGGAAGCATCGGCACACAGTCACAGAATATCACAGAATCACAGCTCTCCGTTCAGTGTCCCCACGGCGGATCCAGGCTAAGTGCCCAACGCAAGGTCCAGATCCCATGCGGACAAGCGCTCGGCGATCCAGGTCTGATGGCTTCTGATGAACGCTATTAGAACTCAGACATGTTAGCTGCCACACACAGGGCTTACGCACCTTGGAGACGCACTGCACCGCACCGTCATCAAAGTGGATCTTGCGGCAGGCGTCATCGAATTTAAAGTTACGGCCAATTAGAGCTCATAATATCTGTAAACAAGTGAAACGAATCAATCTAAACATAGGGCATGTATGGTCAGGCGTCTGGCGTTCCCAATGATATGGTCTGGTGAGGGTGGGGCTGGCGTGTGCGACAGGGGTCGGGGCGGTGGCGTGGGGAGAGGGCCGGGATATGCCGGGATCTTACGCAAGCCTTACGCAAGTCATAATCCCTATAACGTAGGACCTGTTCCTGTTTTTATTAGCCTTAACTACTTAATACTTTGAACCTTACACCCAACCCTAAACCCCGCCTAAATGCAGGCTCTAAGC